GTACATAATCACCCATCCTCCACATAAGGGCACTGGCCTACTGCTGACAACATTGTCATGTCATGACTGGTCCGCTCTGGGGTACCAGGGGAGGACGGGGAAGGCTACAGGAAATGTGGAGGTGGTTCTAATAAAACTACTGGACATACTGAAGTACAACTCATGCTGGTTTTATCACAGTAACTTTGTGTTTTTTGCAGAAACCGTAAACTCATCACACCACAAAGACACATTCTGTCTTTTAGAAGAAGTGGGCTAAGATTCATCTTTCTGAATGTTCTTGCAAGAAAAAAATAATTATTGACCAAAGAGCCACACATGTTACATGTTAGGTCCTCAGACTAAATTCAAATTAAGGTATTCCTCAAGGAAATTCTCAATTATGGCAGAATCTAATCTATTACCTTCCATTCATCAGCTGAATAGAAGGTAACGGGAATTATCAAAATCGACACTTCCGATGGATAGGAATCATTATAAAACGGGTCATAAAATATTTTTATGACATCTGCAATATCAGGGGCCATCAAAATAAACAATATGGTTGAATTGCCTAATATATTCAATGGGAATCAAACTTGAATGAAGTCGTTTCTTTCAAAACACATCTATTTTGACCCCAGTATGTGTGATACATGCATTATACAGTTTCACTGACAGCTATTATGATTACAGCCAAGCAGGTCATGTGAGGACTGTTTTGAACAGATGATACTAAAACCAACTGCACAAATTTATGAGGCAATATTTCACTGCCAGTGTGATCCCTGTAAGATTATCATGCAGCACATCTGGGTGCGTTCTCATTGATATGCAGTGCTCAAATACAGATAACCACTTGTTATACGTCAAAGTATTATTTTTGTATTATCATTTTGAAACAATGCCAGACAGGAGGAAGTTTGTCATAATTATGAAAATGTATGACTAAACTTATGCCAAAACGTGTCATGATATTAAAATGAGGAACATTTCCAAGAACTGATCAACCTTACAAGTCATCTTGTTGATAAGATGGTTTCGCAATGAAATCACGCCAGAGGCTATTTTCAGTTTCTTGTGGTTTCACGTCCCACAGCCCTGGGAAAAGGAAAACTGCGTCAATGCCAGGCAATCACTGGCTTTTAGCTACCGTTTTCGGCGACCGGTTGCGTGACCTTCAGCAATCTACGCTTGTGTTCTGTAATATTCATGACTTCCGCCACCTTTTGCATTCACTGGGGCAAGCCTCTGTTGCCAGGCAACGTGGCTGCGTTGATACGTCACATGAGTGCTGGTTTACCTGGCAATCTGTTATAAATGATTCAAACCCTCCTACCACGTCTCTATCCCAGCTGCCCTGTCGGTTACTTCTGCTGAATGAATCAATGGTCGCGCCCATTGTTAATGATTTACCTACCCTTTCAGCCTTACTTGGTCCCTGGCTATGAGCACCTGTCCATTGATTAATACTAGATTAAGTGTACAAATGTACTATAAGAGCTACTGTACACAGGAAATGGAATTGCTGATTCTGGCAAAACTTGGGGAGTCTGAAATTTGAGTCGAAATTAGTCAACCTGTACAGCTGCCATTTGGTCTAAAACACCAGATTTGCAGGCATGCAGCTGAAGCTAGTTATACTGTATCACACCAAATGACTTGTCAGAGTCACTTTGCGTTTTCTGGAATATGGATCCCATAATGTTATAATGATGTATTCAAGATGTGGTCTATTTACTAAACTTATGTTTTGAGCAGTTTGTACTATCCCCATAATCAAATACAAATTTTGTGCCAAACGGCGTTACCTTAGCATCTGAAAAATGAATAACGATGTGAAGCCAGCCTCCATAGAAGTCACAAAAGGAGGGCACGAAAAACAGCTGGGAATGGTAGGATGATAAAAATAACTAATGTCTGATGTTGAAGGGGTGTCTTTGGCATATCACTCATTCAAACGTTGTCCTGACCTTTTCCTTAGTAACCCAATTCCCTGAAAGGGCTTTCATGTAGGAATAGATGTGTTATATAACATCAATTGTGAGCATCATAAAATGATTTGTGGCAGCAACCATAGCCCTTATGGCAGGTTTTGAAGGCATGTAAATGGAGGAAGATTTCCTCTCTCCCCTCTGCTGCATGCATCTGGCAGGTGATGAAAGTCTGGGCTTATGGATTTTTGTTGTAGCATTTGACATGGCTGCCTGGAGGCAGGTAACATACTCGTAAGACGCAAATCTTCCATTTTGATACTCAAGAGGCTTTCACAGTAAGTACGGCATCAAACTATGACCATGAATTGACATGATGTTATTCTATAATTTTAAGCAGCCATTGACAATAAAATTGTTTACACCTCTGCCCTCTACCATAAAATAATTACTCAAGTTTATTTAACTTGCCAAATGGTATCAAAATATATAGATATTGAATTCTAGATGCCAAAATGTTGTTTGAGTCCAAATCATGACATGGCTTTTAACCATGCCAGACCAATTTTCTCAATATTGTATTTAAAAAAAAACTGTTCTTTTTGGGATCAAATTGTATTACTGGTAACTGCTTAAAATTGCTTTGAACTTCCAATAAAGCTGAAATTCGAATAAAAGAATCTTGCATTCAGTAGACATAGGAATCAGAAAATAAATGGCTCCTGTCCTTAGGAATTAGTGATCATATCAACAGTAGGTACTTGACAAAAAAAAGCCACTTTCCCGATATGCAAGATCTGATAAGCACCAGGAGTCTTTACTGAGATGACTTGGAGGCTGCCAAGTGTTTTTATACACACCATACAATCGCATAATTCTCATAACATTTTAGAGAGTTCTTAGAAGACTAAGTAGGCAAATCATAGTCTTCAGCAAAACTGAAATGCCATCTGAGGGAACATCTGAGGTGCTCTGTTTTTAACCTTCTCCCGGCAAAGGTAGTGACTTGGCAACAATGTTGTATTTGAGGATAGGTACATGTAGACATATAAGGGTAATCTAGATTTGCCACAAATGTAACTTCATTAACTTTATGATGACTATTTAAGAACCTGTCTTAGGGTGAAGACATCAGTACGCAAGAGGTGTAACACGCTTTCTTTAAAAGAAAATTAACTCGTTCTCTCGAGAAAAATACACACATTAAGCTGTAGGACTAGGTGCGCTTTAGAAGCTATAATGGTATGTTAGGCGCAATCGATAGTCTTCCGTCTCAAATCTCTAAGGGGAAAAACAATCTGATACACCTTTCTCTCTACAGGGTCCTCTCTATCAATGCCCCCATCTACTTTCTGACAGTTTCTTGGCAATAATCACCCAAATCACTCAAGGAGCCAATCTCAAAGGAGGAGCAGAAATAATTGAAGAAGAAGGTGAAGAATTGCCTCAATATATTACTCACTGGCTACCTTGCAAAAGCAGCTGCAATAAGAATGTAAAATTCTTTTCAGAGATTGGATATTTTCTGGTCAGTATTGTCAAATTGCCCCCTCTCCCAACATCATCCTAATTTCTAGATACCAGGGGTACCTGGAAAAAATGTACTTAACAAGAAATGGAAGAATTTATACTTTCATAAAGTATTTAGAGTTGTGAATTGTGAACTTCTGGCTGATTCTGTAAAATAAATGCATTTTATATGCAACAGATAGACATGAATATAACAGGGAAATCGGGCAGGAAATGAGGTGACCTTTATACATTTTGACCTCCAAATCAACCTTCCTGTCAGTCTGTGGTTATGCCATTCCTCCCTCACTTCCTGTCACACAGCAAAGAAACGAACAGGCCAAAAACAAAACCTCCACGGCGGCAATGATGCAACAATACCTGTTACTGTCAAAGAGAGACCTTTTCACACAATTCTCCTCCTTCCATGAAAAGATGACTTTTTATGCTGTTGGCGTCTTTACCAATCAACCCACTAGCTGTTATTCATTAAGATCCAACCTCCAACTGCTTGACAACCTGCTCTTCTAGAGGCAGGGCATCCTGCCAACACCATTAATTGCAAGACATTTTTTGCGGTAGGCCTGGGAATGCAAAACCAGAATGTGGAGTACATTCTGGGTTGTTCAACAGTAAAGTACAAAGTAAGGAAATCTCAACTACTGTACTGTACCATATCTGAACACAGCAGCCACGAAAGAGATTCATTGTATTCAGTATCTGCTTGAAAATGAGTGACGGGAGTCTCTATTTTCAAGCATAGCCTGTTTTGTCCTGGTATCACGCATGATGCAACATACAAAGAAAACTTCCAAATCCTCTTTCCCTCTATTTAAGAGATCCCAGGAGATGCACGATGCAGTAAAAATTTATATTCTGAACTTCATCGCATCTTTTGCACTGCACAGTCAATATCCGGATCAATCTGAACATCGGACAAAGAAATGGATATCCCGGCAAGAGACAGGAAATCCATGAAAATCCACCTGTCACTCCTCAGGGACAGGCTATTTCCTTGCCTCCTTCTGTTGTGAATACTTAAAACGTTTTTCCAGAGGAAGGCTGGAACTGCATGGATCTATAGTCTGGAGAAGCTGTGACTAGCAAAGACTGCAAAAATATCATATAGAAATGTTGCAATACAACCCAAAATGCGATGCTTCCTGGCATATTTTTACATTCCAAGCTGACATCTGTATATAACTTATAGTATCCAGTCTTAAACTTTCCCACATACCAACAAAGGGGATTTTTAAATATGCTATTCAGATGTCAACATGTCACATCAATATGAAATCCTTCTGTTCCAACTATGAATCAGGATTTAGAACACAACGGTCTCCATTAAACACAAGCCTAAAACAATTAAACAATATGTTGGGGGTTCAATGCACCTGTTTTGGCTAGTGGTTCTCAGTGTCCTTGGAGCTATAATTTCCCTGGGAATTCTGGGTGCTTTCACGCCCAGGGGGGAGTGGGTAGAGGTCAACAGCACAAAGGCATGAGTTGATGTGTTACCATAGAAACCATCTATTGAAACCCCATATTGAATTCCACCTGTGTCAGGCAGTGACTTACCAATTGTTGATTGGCTTCATTCGAATCTTTCTCAGGGTAGGGCACATAGACCGCTAAGGCCACGCAGTTGGCAAAGATGGCCAGCAGAATGAAATATTCAAAAGGCCTGGAGGAGAACTGGTCAAGGAACATATCAAGTATACAAGGTCGAGAAGATCACACTTATGAATCTATAGAGAAACGTTAAGATTTACATGTAAGAAACAGAAAATACAGACATACAAAATACAAGATAAAAATTAATATTAGTATGCTGCAAGAAAAGGTTCTTCAAGTTGGTTCAAGTCACTTTCATGTAAAGTTCTTCTATTTTTACACCACAGTCAATTTTCTCACCAAGGTTTGCAGCTGCTTTCATCCTGATGAAGGCAGCTCAAAGCCACCAAAACGTTGGTGAGAAATTGCCTGTGGTTGTGTGAAAAGGACTTTACTTGTATTTATGATTATCAGTGTCCAAAAGTGTTGTTATATATTGGGTGGTGCTTTAATGTTATTTGATAAAAAGGAGGCTACAGATCATATCATGATGTATCACTAGCACTGGAGCTATCAAGGACATCAAAAATAATAGCTTAGTATCTTCCTGAGAATACAGAGGATATTTCAAAATCTGTGATGTTTATAAAGCAGGCACCTAATCTTTTAAACAAAAATTTGCGAATTATATGTAATCTCTTGCGTAATTCTTGATTTTGCAGAAAGGAGAGGAATTCTTCCAGTGAATTGGTGTGTCCTATACCAATTAAAGCTGCTTACATTTTGTCCTTGTAAGTGTTTTTCAGCTGTCCAAATTTTAGGCTAGCTAACCCTTCTCTATTTTAGTGGTTCAAGTTGGCATACCAGACTCATATATATAAAAAATGGATTGCTATGTTTTGTTTCCATGCAGATATAGCAGAAAACCGTTACTGCGTCACACCACAGTGATATTAGGTAACATGACTCTGTTGTGCAAATCTGAAAATTACATTAAGACCATCATAATTACATTGGAGTAAGTTACTGTAGGTTCAATCACAGGGCTTGAAATTTTACATCCACATACGAGCCATTGTTTGATTAAAAAATATATAACTATACAGTAACTGTTTTGTCCAATGTTCTATGAAATTATCAATAGTCTGTATTATTTTTGCAGTATTGGAACTACGCAAGCATGTCAAAATCGCCTTATGTAACAGAGTTAATAACTAATGAGATCTGCAATAAACTAAGGTCATATTGTACATTTATCATTCTTAAATCCTAAATCAGATGTTCAGGTTTGATGTAGAAAATGTTCTGTTTTACATGTAGATAAATCAAGGCCAATAATGACCAGCCAACATGAACAATGTACAGGTATATCTGATATATTGTTATGTTTGGGTTGTTATTGTGACAGAGGCCGTTCACCGAAATGTAACACCGTGCTTACACAATGTCCCTCCAGCAGACCTCTGTCTAATTGTTACAATAATCTACATGTGAACGTCTCTAAGCTGTAATGGGGCGACAAGCCCCTTGTGTGAATGTGAGCTCTGAGTCAACCTGTCTGCGGCATGTTTGCATTGACTGCCACCCTCGCTTTTCTAAACAGTGCCAAATGGAGGCTATGGTACATAGTGACTGTGGATTTTACATGTTTGTTAGCATTCAGTATGGCACACAACAGTGGCATTAAGCTGCAAAAATAGGCTTACTAAAGTCCCTGGCCTGACCTTTTAACATATGTAATCCTTTTCTTCCATGTCAGTTCAGGAGAGAAGCATCCCGTTTCATGTTAATTCCCCAACAACACACCTTTATTCCTTGGAGATTTAGATGAATTTTTAACTAAGACCCAGTCACTATAGAAAAAATATGTCCTAACATTAGATCACAGCCTGGCAATGATTTCTGAGCATTGTTTCCATTTTTTCCAAGCATAAAAAATATATTGAGAAAAATGTCTGCTTGAGTTAATCTGGTTATTCAAAAGGTACATCATGGATTGATCAGCTGGCATTTCTTTCACACTAATTAGCTGCAGGGGTGTGGTTTTCGCTTTTCTCTGGAGGGAAGGCATGGAAAGAAAATTTGCGCTTCTACCTTTGTGCGAACAACCTTTTCAAATCATACAAAGAGCATTTTACCCTTATCAGGAAGAGTAAACGAACAGACAGCTCTACAAGTGTGTGGAGTAAATGATGTTGTGGTTCTGTGTGATTTACTGAGTACAGTAACATGGTGGAGCTATAAACAATGGCTAGTAGAGGTTTTAAATCAAAGGATACTTCCATTCCACGATGTACATACAAGCCCTGCGTATGGGGTTCTTCAGGCCCAGACAGAAGAGGGCCCGAGGGGGCCAGTACGGCCCTTGTTGGCGCTGCTTGCGCTTGTTGGCTGCGGCCGTCATGACGGACAAGGTGGTCTGCCAGCGGTTGCTGAGCGGGGGTGGGTTCGGCGACTGAGCGACGGTGGCACCGAGGCTGCTGCCGGTGCTGGCCGGTGGGAGAGTCGGACTCGGACTGGTGCTGTACCTCTGTGTGCTGCTACTACTGTATCTCCGTCTGCCCGGGAGGTCGGTCCGCTTTCGACCATTATTCACACCTGGGGATAGAAAACACAGGACAGGTGTGCATCAGTGACGTAGCAATGACAAGATATTCACCAGGACCGCTATGTCCTGACCCTCACAGCTGTGGGGCGCTGCCCCGGTATCAACCTCGCACATACTGAAGTCCTACCACATCAAGATCACAGATCCTACCTGTTACAGCCACACAGATACGTACATGACTTTGCACCCGGCTGGGTGAGATAGTGCCAGCCATTTGGGAACAGACGATATCAAACCACGGAACGAACACAAGCGACAACCCGCGCCATTTTTCAAACCCTTAACGCAACACAGGCTGTGAAAAACACTGATTTTCTCCCTGGATTTCCAAGAACTCACGATACAAGTGCTCAAATACGACACCACGACATATCTACTCCCGTAGTGTGTCGTTACCAGTCGGTTCAAGCTCCATTACTGTGTTTTCCCGACGTGATTTTTTGGAAGCAGCGCTCAGTCTCCGCTCGAGTACTCCGCCATGATTTTGCACATTGACATCAGTGTATTACATCCGGTGTAGCGGGCCATGCGTCCACCGGCTTACTCGGCCCGGAAGGACAGAAATTATTCCCTAAAAACAATTTCATCATTTGCGTTAGGGAAGAAAGGCGTAAAAAAACTCACAATATTTCATGTGGGAAGTTGTTATAATTTCTACCACGGGGTTTAGTGACAAAAAGGTGAGGCTATAGGGAAAGTGTGCATGTGCAGGTGAGAACAATTTTAAAGCGACACTTGTGATTTTCAAGCAGATGTTCGGGTGGAAGATTGTAAGTTATTCGCCTAGTGTTTTCTGACAGCTTCCACATGCTTGTCAGGAAAGTCGTGTTGTAGAACTTGAACGGCAACAATCTTCCACCCAACATCTGCTTGGAGATTGTGACATTTAATCCGCGGGCCCAGGCGCACTCTGAGCACGCGCCAAGACTGTTGTGCCCAGTGGCTTCATACCCAGAATATGCCGGGCATGCTTCACATACTTCGCCGCACGTTCTGCTGAGGAGACGGGAACAGAAATCGTTCGAAATAATGTATAATTTAAAGATTCAAGGATTCAATTGTGCCTCACAACACGCCTCCTACCAATTAACATGAACTGTCCCCAAGTGACATGCAGGGAACGGGATACCGGTATCTAAACATCGGCCCAACATCGCCTGATTTGGGAAGTCTAGACCAGGAATAACCCAATACGCCCATATTTGTATCTCCACAACATACTCGCTTAAGAACGGAAAATAACGCCTACAGCAGAAACGGAGCGTTCGATAAATGAAGGGCCATTTTCTACGACATCCGAAATCAAAGAATAGTGATGCTGCGATTGCTGTGCCTGTGAATAAGGCGATAACAAATTAAATTGCAATGAATTTTGCTGGCGCTAGGAAGAGCGGGAGAGTGCATGGTGAATCAGTCACAACTACTTCCACTTTATCTCCATCAAGACAGCCACTAAAGCAGCGCTTCAAAATGATCTGATATTTCACGCATATCGCAAAACTACATGTCATGCAGATTTTGTGGAAATCGCTAAAAAGGAAGCACTTTACCTCAAGATAGTGGACCAGAGTGTGGGAGCAGCCATCTTGCATTTTTCCAATAGCAGAATTAATAATAGATTTGCCAAAATGAGGTCAATCTCCATGCACTTTTTATATGCTCATGAATATTCAACGAGCACAATCACACCCCTGTGTCACTCAACATGATACCGACCAGCGCCTGCCTTTTCGGCGATATCATCGGGGGCGATATTTGGAGATGGCCGCCCGTTTTCTAATTGGCTTCATCGGCACGGAAGGCGCGGGCAAACCGTTGTTGACAACCGCTTTCGCAGCCTTCTCTAGCCTTAGCGCTGTCATCTGCAGATTACTGCTTAAATATTGATGAAGATTCATGCTTGGGTGCACACATCTATAGATGGCGTTTGGGGGTTGGTAATGCTGGGAGCTGCACAGCTCGATAACGCCGATTGATGGATAGTGCTTGGGTACAAAACACGCGTGGAGTCGTGGTCGGTAAACACAAACAAGGGCCGCTAATGAGAGAATACATCATCGAGCAAGTTAAATGGAGAAGCTTCTTCGGACAAATAATGTTCCGAACTGCTAGAGGAGTTTGAAATGTAGTGGGGGATAGTTGAGGAAATCTTAGCATGGCTTCTGCATCGTGGAATTGACTTGTCAATATCCGACCACTTCAGTGAATGACCCGATGTAAAATAATGGCGTTCACCGCCGAAGATCAAAATGATTTCTGTTGGCTTCTGGCCGAAATGATCTGACGATGTAAAGGCCCCTTCAACGATTTGCTTCGTCGCTCAAAATAGTCGTTTTGAAATCTAAAAGCTAAGAAATGCGGGGCAATTTCAATTGAACTTGCATTTGTTTATCTACTTCATACATATCGTGTTTCCTACCTCCCTTTTGATTAACTGGGAATATTATAGTATATTTACCATAGAAGAAAGGAAATCAATCTATATTGGAAAAATCGTCAGCCACAATAATGCGATTTCAAGACGCAACCCAATTTGAATATCACGCAATTAGAACTGACTCAGAAGGCGTATGGATTGCTTTTGTAATTGTGAAAACAAGTGCGCACTTGGAAAGGTCTTTCTATTTGGTGTAAGCCTATTTGTGTTTTCTTTTTTCGCAATGTGCAACACGTTTCGGCCCCCTGCAATACAGTAACTTATATTTTGCAAACGAATAACAATGATCAGGAACATTAATCTGCCGTTAAGTGTCCAAATCGTTTTTAATTGCGTCCCACTGCTTAAAGTGCGTCCAAAAGTAAAAGTACGGAAACAGAGCCCGCGTGAACTGAATAGTGGTATCACAAGCAGCTCTCAACTTCATTGCAGAGAACTTTTTTTTTTTACAGAAGAATAAATTAATGTAGAAAATATTATATATCTACCTCACTTTTACCTAGCCTGACTAATCGCGCTCCTGGCGGCCGCCGCCCCCCTTGGGGTGGTGGGGGTCATTGACCTCCGGCTGAAAGAGCTTGTGTAACACAGGCTAACTTTTACCTGGCGTGACTAATCGCGCTCCTGGCGGCCGCCCGCCCCTAAGGTTGCCGCGCCCCCTTGGGGTGGGGGTCATTAACTCCCGGACGAGAAAGCTTGTGTAAACACTGGCTAACTTTTACCTTGCTGCCGTGTAGTTTACAATGTTGAAATTCGATTCTTTTTTAACTTTCTGACAATTTGCATAATCCAGTTACTTAATGACATGATGACATCATAGTGCAGCATTTTTTTTCAAGTACTAGATCGATCTTCGATTAGATATGCTTCAGCTTCTTTTTCTGTGGGTCTTTTGCTCATTTTGCACGGCTTTTCTGTGTAGCCTTTTTCAATTGTATCGCATGATAAAACAGTGAAGTATTACTATCCAACATTCTATAACAAATGTCCTGAGGACACGTTAATTCCAGGACATTATAGTATCCGTGGTTACAATATCATTATTCGTTTGAACAAGAAGAAAGCAAGGATCTACCGCATCATGGATTGACAATGCGTGTACTGTATACTTTGTATAACATTTATAGTTGATTGATATTCACGTTTTAACGTTTCCTCGGCTATGGAAAATAAATCAAGATTCTCGCTAGGGACTTCGGACCTTGCTGATGAAAATGTTGTGACGTTTCATGAAATCCATGACGTCACGGCGTGAGAACCATGCGGAAGTTCAGTTCAAATGTTCCCGCCAAGCTGTAACCCGAGTCGCACATGCGCCAAGTGGGATTCAAGATGGCGTCCAGCGCAGAAAGTCAGATGAACCTCGCTGCGCTCCAACAGCGCGATCCTTACATCACCAATATCATAGATACCGCCAGTCAGGTCGCACTGTACACCTTTAGCGCCAAGAAAAACGAGTGGGTAAGTTGGAGAGGCATTACAGCTTCCAGTGTTGTGTGGGGACCGTGGCTTTCTTGGCGTGCTAACTGTGCGTGTTTTTACTGTGATTGTGTGCAGCACACGCCTCACGATAAAAAGACCGATCGCTGCTGCCGCCTAGCGCTCGAACGTGTTCAGCCCAGAATTTCATGTTTACGCTTCTGTGATTGCCCAGAGTTAATGAATGTGACCAGCCTGATATCTATCCAACTTGCTGCTCCAATAAAATGACTAACAGGTTGGCAAACAGTCTGCTTAAAATTTATGGACACAGCGAATCGTTCGGATCAATCTACCTTGCGATTTTAGATTGAACTGCACATATCGACTGAAATGCTTGTTTTGACAGATTGATTGATGTAAAAATAGGTTCGTCTCCTAATTGTATAATTGAGACCAATTTAAGTTTGCCAGAGGTAAATTAGAATTGGTGAGGTCATGCAATATTCCTCTGCCAGTATGCAAATATTTCCAAAATTGGCATTTTTGGCAATACAATAGAATTAGAATCATGATAATTGTGCATCTTAATTTGACTGTCAATAACAACCTGTTATGATTTGTATAAAATCAATAGGTTTAAGTCAGAAAAATTGGGATATGTATTTCCTCAATGTTATCTCGTAAATTTTTCTGACATATTTGCCATTTTATGATAAAAATATTTCACCTTAATTAAGTATTGGCAAATGTTGACACAGAACCTTTTCCACAAAAATGCCAAGCATATTTTGAACACAAAGACAATGGCAAAATATTAGTCATGATCTGAATGATGGCATTTGCAGTATGTTCAATCTTTTCTCTCCTTGAGAGCTGTCTTTGATGTTTCTATTCTGTTTTTCTGGGGGGAAAAAGATTTCCATAACAACTGAGAAAAAATATTCAGTCTTAGGCATTAATATTGATAATGGGGTCAATCTAATTCACTCAATCCTGGGGTTAAAGCAATAAAGTAAAGCCATGTTATTGTGACCACCACCTGAATGTACTGAAGGTATATCTGAAGTCCAAATAGCTAGAGAAGCGATGTCTAATTGAGTACCGACAATGGGGAGGGCCCTGGCACTGCCTCCAGCATCATCCATACTGGAATAGAAGGGCTTTTCCCCACTGAATTATCGGAGATGGAATTCTGGTTACCTTGGCGATGGAGAGATGGATGGGTCCGATAGGAGGTCTCCAGAAGTGGTATCTATCGTGCTGGGGCTCCCGCGCTTGGTGGTGGCAGTAGAGTGATATTGATGGGGGTGCGATACCGGAAGCATGGTTAGAATAGCGGTTGCTGCCTTAACCTTGAAGTGGCCCCCCACACGCTGCCCCCAGCCAGATGTGGAAACAGCCCATTCCACAAATCCAATATCAACATGCAAGTGAAATGCCTCGGCACAGATCAATTCATCCCCACAAATATTCAGCGATATCAATATTTAACGGTGCTGGAAAACGCAGCTCGGGGAGGGAGGGTCCCATAGGTGTTCCACCCAATCCTATCAGCTTCATTTATCGGGTGGCAAAGATGGGGGTTCTCTTGCTGGATTTTCTCTTCTATGTCTACTGTCTCCTGTTTTGTTATTACTGCTACATCTCCTAGTACCACCTACACACCGACTGCATTCACTGATTTATAAATGTGGAATTTCATGTTGTCAATTGTCGGTGCAACTCTCCTCTAAGTGGAGAATATCTGTGTTGTCATCCACGTATACGTTTGACACGAACGACCACTTTAGCTGGCCTCCCGATATATATTGACATCATCCTGCCAGATGAAACCTGTAATGAACTTTCAGCTTGGCTCTTAAGGCTCCATTTTACTTCTAACATGAGAGGGTGGGGTGTATATACAGAAATAAATATTCGTTCTCACAGTTGCTTTACTCTTATTTTCCTCCCCTGTTCTACAGGAAAAAACGGACATAGAAGGGGCCCTATTCGTCTACACCAGGTATTCCCATCCCTCTCACCTTTCCTTACAGTGTATATATTTCTGTATCTGCTGGCTAGAAATAGCAGTTAAGGTGTGCTAATGTTACCTGTCCGATGCACCCCTTGCTTGGGTGACCCACGATGTCACCTGAATGCATAGCTGGAAGCACGGCAGCTCATTAATTCATTGGATCGCTCCGTGTCATCTCTGAATGGAACGGCAAATCTCTCCCGAGAATCAGCGTTATCCCCCGAACACCGGCTGGAACGGCGATATCCTCTCCCGGCAAAATAATCTCCTGGCCCCAAAATATCAGCACCTGTCCGGGGTGGGCGGTGGGACTGCGTTATCCGGCCCCAAGATGGAGTGAGAATGGACTCGCGGTGCCTTCCTCGGGGCCCAATCCGATGCGTGCAGGCATTCCAGTACACACCCACTTATAGACATAGGAAATACCGCCACAAAACAGGGTGCTAGCCCGTAGTAATATCAAGGAGATGAGACCTGGGAATATACATACCTTACATTGCCTACGATGTCCTTTGAATCATTGTATCTGAACTGTGGCTCTCACAAGGGTGGGCAGCATACATTATGAGAAGGCGCCATTTTTACTATGGAGGGATGAGGCTTAATGTATGTGTGAGGCTATTAGGCTTTCTTTCTGCCAGCGTATAAATGATTGTCGCATCATATGTCAATCAATACGCTTGCTTTGTTGGTAAGCAACAAGGGCAATATGGGTAACCTCAGCGCATGAAAATTGGATGGATGCTGAGCCGGTATCCATGTTCCGGGGCCGGTAAGAAATGAGAATCATTCATTACATGAAAACCATCATCCAGGGAAACTGTGTAACGAACGCAGGTGGCTCACATGCATAATGAACACCTCGCTGCCACAGTGATCAAATTTAATTTCGCAGCTTATCAAGGGAACGGTGGATGCACTTAAGCCGCATCCTGCAATTGGCTTGAGGAGTGATCTGTCCAACCTGTCCTTTCTTCTGCCCGGTCCTGTGTCAGGGCTGACTACAGGGTATTGTAGGGAGGTAAATCAGGTGTGGTGTCGTAGATCAGCTCCCAGCAGGCAGGCCGGAGCAGGATAATCCGCAGATTCAGTGCCTGTGTAGTCGGGAGATTGCCACCCAAACAGTAAGCAAATCTCCCTCGCACGCTGATGAACCCCCACCTGGGAGCAGTGCACGGCAGGAGGACATTACACATGCACGACGTGCCGGCCTGGGCGCGCCGAACCTGCCTGCCACGCTCCTGACAGCAGAGGTCAGGCTGGGGGGAGCTGGACACAGTCTGCCCAGGGCCAGACCATGTTGTTACAGCACCTGACAACACCGCTGTCCCAGGAAGCTGTGACATAATCTACTGTCAGTGTAGATCAGCCTGACAGACTCACCAGGAGAGCGATTGGGGCACGGACAGAACGGGTTGATTGGAACTGACGATTGCTAGGACCAACACCTGGTTCTCTAATTGATAGCATTTTTTTTACACTTGATATAAAGAAGATCAATTAGATGAGATGTATAATTTGATAAAAAATATATAGTCTTCACCTTTCTAAATGCAGAAACAATTCCAAAAAGCTCCAAACTGAAACGGCTACAAAATGATACAAAAAATGTTGAAGTTATATACAGACATGTATTCCAAAAAGTTGGTAACCTCTCTTCTTTTATAAAAGGTAACTCAAAAGCCTATCATGTTTTTTTTATTTGCTACCAGAAGTAGCACAGACAGCTTATTCCAGTAGTACAACTGTATTTGACAGTGATATTTTAGTTGTTTTGTCTTGGATAAGACTTACTGTTGATAGGAATTACAGAATCAGATATGTAATGAAATCATACAATGTGTAATCCTTCATTTCCTGTAACGATTTTTGCAAAGTAGCTTTATGTAAATGACTACAGATTGCAGGTATGATGAATGTTGGAGATCAACACAGTCTTCTGTTTGTTATTAAAAGTATTGATCGACTGGTACATCTGTACCCAAGCACACACGCACAGATAAGAAAATATCCCTACTAGATCTTGAGTAGACAATCTTTAATTCAGGGGTATCCTAACTTTAAATCCTGATATACACGTACCTTTGATTTTTAAGTCAGGTATCTTGAGTTTTGATTCAGGCACATATCCATTCCACAATCTTATGAGAAGCAAGTGTAGCTTCTTGGGGAGAATATTTTGGGAATATTTCATTCCCAAAGGCCAGCTTTACATCTCACTAATTAAGGACTCCAAGCAGAGAGTTTCAGTACTTCCTGTTGCTAACTGCTTCCTCTGAAATTCCCCAACATCTCTCTGAGCAGTTAAGACAGATTTTGCTGCTTAAAGGATTGTTGGTTGAGGATTTTATGCAAGTTAACTAATAACTTGATTTGCAAAGGAAGGGAAAAAAAGCTATCCTTGATTCAGTTTTTTATTATGAAGAATGTGAACATGAGATATATTTGAGTTTATCAAGACTTGTAATGTACCTTTAACATTATGATTAATATTATGAGCAAGTTTTTATCATTTTAATTTTATCAAAAATTTTTTTAGATCTGTAAATTTCAAAAACACAAAACAAATGGTCTTCATCTGCATGTGCTCTCCAGGATTAGTCTCGGCCCCTCCCCCGACCTCAATCACCTATTCACACGTTGTCACCCTGCGGCCTGTCTCATGACAAGTGCCCTTTGGGGGAATAATACGGCCTCCCAGTTTTACGACAGAGAGAGAGAGAGAGAGAGCTGTCCCTGAATAATTGATGTGTTCCAGCTGGAAGCCAGGTGAAACACCTGTGGCAGCCGTAATGACAGGGTGTGCCCCTCTTCTGTCCCTTCCTGTTGTGAGAGGCTCAGCTTGAGGGTGATAACCCCTGAGAGAAGCCGTCAGATTTCCGCCGAGATTTGACAGATATGAGTGGATGTTGGAACGGCAGGTGAAGCCAGGAGTCATCCATCATGAGGGAGTGGTCTCTCCAAATAAGGAGGATGGAGACACACGGTGCTCAAGTCCTCATGCATGTTAGCAGTCTTCCTGATTTGTTTTATCTATTGATTAATTGATTGATTTTTGAAAGAAATAAGAGCTGCATTACACATTTGAAATGATTTTATGCCAGTTAAGTACCAATGAAATTAGATACATTGTTGGCATCTTGATAGAATGAGACACACCACCCAAGAAAGACTATTGGTACCAAAACCTGAACATTTTGGGGTTGATTCATATCCTGAATGGTAGATGTAACTGTTTTCTTTCAAATTAAAAAAAAAATGGAGCACCAAATCTAAGAACCATGAAATGTAAATGGTGTTGTCTTTAGAGTAAATGCAAGGTGAAGAAACTTGTTAGGTCTTGTATTCGCCCAACATCGATAAATTACACTCAAATTGAGTCCAATGCTGTGCGGAAACAAACCATGAAGTTTGCAAGCCATAAAATCTGTTCCAGCTGAAATGACACACCTTGTTAAAGTTTCCCTCAAGGGTACATCCTGTGCCTCCTGCTGTTATCAGCCATGTGAGGTTTATTATGACACTCTCCAGAAATGATCAATAGTATCCAGGAGAAGGGTACAGGAAGTTAGTCATGTCCTCTTCCTGTCCTTGGTGCTGAACACACAATCAGCCAGGGTTGTTCAACCATAAGTCTCGTAAACTCAACTCAAAATCATATCTTGTTTATTAGCTTTACACATTAGTCGTAGTCATGTCCTCAGGCAAATAATGAAATACTTGTTTGCCAATTAAAAAGTTTTGACAGAATGATATAGGACTTTTGCATAAAAGTACATGTCTGATGTATCTGTAATATAATTGACAATGTAGTAGACCAATTAGTACCATTTTAGAATTTGACTTCAAGTTTCACTTCATTTTTTTACATTATCACTATTAAACCATGATAGATGGTACATTGTCACCAATTAATACAGAAGAAAATATACATTTTACATTCTTTACATAGAAAAATTAGAATATAGCAAAACTAGTACAAGGAGAATTTTGTTATTTTGGATTGACCCACTCAACTTTTCTTCCTTGTACACTTGCTTTCCTGTTCTTTTTTGTCATTGTCATTTTTGCTATAACAACCATTTTTTTTACTACTGTTATTTACAAAGAAAGGGTATAGATTTTTCCATTTAGAACATGAAACCTCGCCCAGCAGATACGAGAACATTTGGGGGAGACAGTGGAATAATATTGACAAGTGCTACACATTGGTACCCATCAAAATTGTACATGTAACCTTACAGGTACAAGATACCAGAACACAAAAGTACCAGTACTAAATACTTCACACAAGTATTTAAATTGTTGTTTTGTTTCTAAAAATGTGTTATTCCTGTAACAATGATGAAAAATTTAGCTCTCGGAAAATATCAGCACCGTCTTTGATTGAAGATCCTCTCTGCATAAGATACCCGAAGATTAGGTAAACATTCTGTTAACTGCTTATTCAGGTTTGAAGACCACAGTTTCCTTTTTCAAATTGTCCTGGCACAGGTACAAGTCTGGGCCTGTACCTAAACCTCTGTACCTGTACCTGAAGTTAAGTTTAGGTCTGTAGCTCCAGTATTGACCCATTGATGATAGGCTACGGAGAAGGGAAACTTGGATTTCCTCAGGGAGGCTGTAGTGGAACAGGGTCCGGTTGATAGATGATAAAAACATATTCCTAGGAGGGACATTCAAGTATTGAATTGTGGAGGCAGAATATTCTATGCATATTGATTTTCGCAGTGTTGTATACTGCCTGGCATTATGTTCACACCCTCTAAAGGAGAGGTCCCAATAAATAGTGATAAAAACTCCTGCAGCCTCGGTAGATGGCCACAGATTGAGGAAAACGATTGTGTAATCTATAAAAGTCCCTGAACTTGGCTGTTTTCCCTGTGCATTAATTGTGGAAACGGAAGTTTCAATTCTGTGGGGCATTTATATAGCTGTTTCGGTTTTCTTTTCAAATGATGAGAATGTTTGTAATGGAAATTAGTTAA